ACGAGCCATGGGACTTTGCACTTCAGCAGGATAGGGAAACTGGAGACAGTTCGCTTTTCTGCTTCTACAAGACATCTCTGGATCCAAAACCTGTCCATATCTTTGAGGAGATTCCTATCAACCCTGAGCTGTCTTGACTCATCTCAAAGCAGCAAATTGTTGGAATGGAGAAAATATATACATTGACATCTTTTTATAGAATGCCAGACATATGCTCCCTCCCACTCCAATAGACTTCTGGAGTACTTAAAAGAGATGCTGGCGGTGTAATGCTGAACATGCCTCTTCGGGGCACATGATGTCAGCATATTCTGTGGTGTCTTCTCTTCAGTCAGGAGTTGTTGTTCATATTAACTTTGCTTTGGAAAAACCCTTGAATATTTGCAGATGTTCACACACTTTTACATTCAAGTACTGTGTGGAATAATAGATGGACAATGATAGTGGAACCTATGAGTCCTTATGGTTGTAAAGAGACTTATACCAGACTGTTTGTATTAATATATTTTACACATTTAAATTAGATAATTAGTGGATTAATCTTATTGTTAACATGAGCTAACCATTTTTTCCTTTCTTTCTTCTGCTATACAAGTTACGTTACAAAAGCTATATTGTAGTTATATTACAAAAGCATTTGAATGAGTTTCCTGAAGGAAACAAGTATTTAATGTGTTTTTTTGCTGTTGCCATCCTCAGATTTTTTTTGAAGTGCAACAAGATTCAAACCACTTTAGCCCAGATAGGTCTATCTCAGGCTTCCTCAATCTTGGCCCTCCAGATGTTTTGAGACTACAGTTCCCATCATCCCTGACCACTGGTCCTGCTAGCTAGGGATCATGGGAGGTGTAGGCCAAAAAAAATCTGAGAGGCCGAGGTTGAGAAAGCCTGGTCTATCTGATAAAAGATCAGTCTATGTTGAGGAAATAAATCTATGAAGAGAGATTATCTAATTCAGGATGAAGAACTAAAGCCATGGGTAGTGCTACTTGATTGAATGATTTGGAAATAGTGTCTCAACTGGGACATTTCACACAACGAAAGCACTAAGGTGTGTTTAAAAATGTATGCTTTCAATCATTAGTTCCAAAGATATTTAGGAAACAGGCAGAGTTTATGCATGCTCAATATGTGCACGACCATCTATACGCACATTGCACCAAACCCAGAAGTGACCCGAAAGGTCATAAAGATGTCACTGAAACATCACTAAAAGGATGAAATGTTGGCAGAATGGGGTGTTTTCAGGGATTTTCAATGGATTTCATTTATAAGTGATTTCACTGACACATGTGGTGCCTCAGAAAGTAACCCCCACATAAATGGGGGTTGGGGTGCTGCCTATATCAACATTACTGGTTTCTGAAGCACAAAGATGGAGCAGTCAGTATATGCCATCTTAAGCATTTACAAGTAAAAAAGGTGAAACCAAAGTTGGTTGCTCAAAAGACAGGACTTTTGCTGCCACTAATTCCAACACAGTCAGATATATAGTACCATAGTATATACTATATTATAGATATATAGGCTTCTGGGTCTTCCATTACAATTTTTGTCTTACTAATCTCTGAGCCCAGTTCAGCTATGTAAAGTCTATACTTTCTGGAAGACAATAAGCCAAATAGGCAACTTTCATTATTCCTGTGCGTTTGTCAGCAATACAAAGTTATCATGAGGCACACTTTCTCCTCCCTCTACCTCCCAGGATTTTTTTGGGGGGGATTTTATCAATTCTTTCTATAGCCATCTGCTGTCTTACCATGCATTGCTTGTAATATCTGGGCCAATATCAACCATGTTAATGAAAACAACTCATCCAGCTAAGTTATCTTTGAATGGATTCTACGCTATTTTATTTATTTGCAAATGGAAAACCTATTCTTGACTTGACTGTACAACTGTCATTTTCGTCATCATTGCTATGTTTATATGTGACCCGAGAAACCACAGGAATGCAGGGCTGTCATTTAAGCATGTGTTTTCAAACTACTGGCAATTTCTTATTGTGAATCATGTTTCTATTTAATTGCATGGAAGTTGACTAGCAATAAACTTTCAGGCATTAGAATTACCTATTGCCAAGTGTCCCGGTAGGCACAAAATGAATCTACAAAACATTTAAAGCTAGTTAAAATTGGAGAAAATGGGGCAGGATGGGAGTAATGCAGATATATTTTTATCAGGACACAGTGGTTCAAGGGGCAAAGTAACAAAACTATCCCCTAATTTTTTCTATCAAGTTTTAAGTACTTTATTGTCAGTGTGATTGCTGACCTCCAACTAATTGTAAAACCGGAACCTTCAGCTTCCAGAGTCAGAGGGAACCAATTTGACTGCAGTCATTTTACGACTGATAATAAAGATACTGTGCCAAAAAGGAAAACCGGGGGGGGGGGGGGGAGAGAGAGAGAGAGAGAATCCAATGTTTACATCCACTGCAACAGGGTAGGTTGCAGGACTACAAGTTCCACCAGCCCCAGTCAAGGAGTCCAGAAGCACTCCATACATGCACTACATGGTTGGGATGACCACAGACAAAATGGACGGCCCTCTGTCATGCACGTTTCACTTGAGATTCCTGGATTGTAGGGAGTTGAGCCAGATGACCCTCAGGGCCCTTTCCAACTTTAGAATTCTACAATTCTATGAAGAGTAGAAGCCATGGGGAGATACATAAGCCGGAGGTCAGGGGCGTGGCCTCTCTGCTACTTCGACTAACTCACTGGGGGCACACCTAGGAGTAGCTGAGAGATGTAGGACCAATGGTCATGTCTTTTCCTACATTGTAAGTGTACTTTTGATAATAAAGAGATAATTCCTCACTCTGGACATCCCTTGCCTTACAATGCTGAGACTTCATTGTAGGGGACTCCTGGATATAATACATCTTTTCTGGTTTAAGCTAGAATTTTATTGCACTAGGTAAACACCTTCTGTAAATAGTTTTTTTAAGACAGAAAAATACTCTGCATTAAATTTTACTGCGACTTTTTATAACAGAAACTTTATCTAGAGATTATCAATTTGTGAGCTGCCCTGGGATCTTCGGATGAAGAGCGGTATGCAAAGTTCATCATCATCATCATCATCATCAAATAGCAGTGACCAATAAAGTGAGTGATGATTACTCTTGAAGCACATCCATGTAAAACACCTACACAGAAGTCAGAGAAAGTATAAACCACAAATCATTGTTCACACCTCATTTTAGTTTAATTTTAGTTATCTGTACAACTTATCTGAACTGTATTTAGCCATCCTTCCAGTTGACATGCTTGCGGCTATGTTAGACATAAATGAGCTTAGAGTGAAAACACATGGTAGTTATTGTTTGCTTTCATGTTGTTAAGCAACTGGAAGTTTATCAGGTTTCCTCAGCCAATTAACTGCCCATCCTGCCTTAGCAGAAAGAAAGATCAATGGGTCAAATCCTCAAATAGCTTTAAGCTTTCCACAAACGGCTTTGCATGTTACTATCAACAGACAGGGTTCAATTGGATAATTCCCAAGGAGCAAACCTAGATTAAGAATTCTATCCACATTTGTGCTTTGTTCCTTCATTTGAGAGGAAACATGTTTTACATTGGAAAACAATGCAGGAATTGCTGAAGGGAGAAACCTGTCAACGTATCTGTAAAAACAAATAGTGACACATTTGGAGTACAGTACCTCACTGAAGAAATTACAAGAGAGGGCATATGAAAGACCTGCCACCTTTCTTTCTCGCAACAGTGACATCTTTTTATGATACTGCATGATTCTGTGTCAGTTAATGAATGACTGATGACTTCGTTAGTACTCCCTTCCCTAACGAAGAGAGCAAGTGGTTCTTCATGTGAATAGACTGCATAGCTGTGCTACAATAGCAAACAAAGATCAATCAATGTGATTTTCTTGCACTCTATATTGCATTTTATAAAGAAACCATAATTTAAAAATATTACTTTATTATGCATATGCCACCCATCTGACTGGGTTTCCCCAGCCACTCTGGGCGGCTCCCAAAAGAATATTAAAAACACAATAAAACATCAAACATAAAACATATTCCCTATACAGGGCTGCCTTCAGATGTCTTCTAAAAGTTAGCTAATTGTTATTTTATTTCCTTGACATCTGATGGGAGGGTGTTCCACAGGTCATGTGCCACTATCAAGAAGGCCCTCTGCCTAGTTCCCTGTAACTTCACTTCTCGCAGTGAGGGATCCACCAGAAGGCCCTCGGAGCTGGATATTTGTTTTATACATGCTATCAAAGCATTCATCCATTTCCAATCAGCCCCTCCAAAAGAGCCTGTGTGGTGTTGGGCTTGGATCTGGGAAGCCAGAGTTCAAATCCCTACTCGGCCATAAAGCTCACTCTGTGACTTTGGACAGGTCTTTCAGCCTAGCCTACCTCACAGGGTTATTGTGGGGATTAAACGGGGGGGGGGGGGAGAGAACCACCTTGAGCTCCTTGGAGAAAAAGGTGGAATGTAGATGTGGTAAATAAAAAAATATCCTTAGACGGCCAGATGCAGCATAACACATAGAAACCACAGTCCCAACACAATAAAAAAATGTGTCTCACTGAAATATGGGCACTTCATAGGAATCTGGTGCAAGATTGTGCTGCAAAATGAAAAAAAGGGGACTGGGAGATGAATGTATGGGGAGAAACTAATTGCCTAAACCTACAAAACTAAATATAGCATTAAAGTGTGAATCAATGCAAGTCTCTTTAAAGGCTGTATGTGCCTTCAGTCCTACTGATCTGCAGTGTTTAGGAAAATGTTATATGCTTATAGCAGGGATGGTGATTCTCCCAAATGATGTTTGATTCCCATCATCCCCAGTTAGCAAGGTCAATGGGGGTTGTAATTCAGCAACATCTGGAGGGACAGAGGCTCCCCACCCCCAACTGAAAACATAACAACACCAATTTGATTAAGAAGCATAAAATTGTAGAGTTGGAAGGAACCACTAGGGTCATCTAGTCCAACCCCCTGCAATGCAGGAATCTTTTGCCCATTGTAGGGCTCGAACCCACAACCCTGAGATTAAGAATTTCACGCTTCACCGATTGAGCTATCTCCCAGATGCTGTGTCCATTCTGTATTTTCATGCCAGATACCGTAAAACAAAATTGATATACCACATTTAATCCCTGTATTACAAAGGAGAAACTTCAAACTACGTTGAGTTGAAATAACATGTTGACAACATTCTAAAGCTTAAACACGGTCAAAATAATGGAATAAAATATGCGGGGGGAAATGTGAAGCTAGAGGTTCCTGGATGAGCATATTGCTGTGACTTCGTTCTAACAGCTTGGATTTCCTTGTGCAATGCATACATTTTATCACTAATTCAACATTTATCTGTTTTCATATGTAAACAAAACTTTATCTCCATTTCTGATCTAATAATCTCATTCCTAAAAGCAACACAAAATGTTAATGTACATCAAAAGACTATTATGGGTACTCATAGTTCAGGTTGCGATGCCCACATTTTCCATAAAAGTAGCCTGTTCAGTATGCAAATGATTCATAAACCAAACAGAAAATAAACCTGAAACACTTCTTGTTTTAAGCATGCAGCTTTTATCACCCCTGCATCACTTTAGGAGCAGCTGAAATTAGTTTAATATCACGCCCTCCTCAGCAGAAGAAGAGTCTTGATTATATTGCAACAAGTTTGCTTAATGCTTGGCTACTATGCAGATATGACTTCTATTTAAAGGCTTTTTTAATTGCCGGCTCCCAACTCAATTTAAAGTGTCAGATGCTAAGAGTCACATGTTAATATTCTGGCTTTTAGATCATACCTAACAGTTTAATGGATCAGAGCAGAAGGATTTAAAGACGCCTTTACTATTGCATACAACAACAAGCAGTTATACAGCAATGCAGCTATTCCTTCTAGTTTCCGTCTAGTTTACGTAGCAATATATTTGGACACCTTCTGTACACTAAACTGTGTTTCCTTGACTATTTTGGATTAAATATCCAGCACAGCATAATTACCTTCTTTAAATCTGTCCAGTCCTCCTCAATTTTTTTAAAAAAACACCTTGTTTTTAAATTTATATTTGAAGCAACCAATTAAAAAATTGTGCTAATTAAGGTGTTTATTGAGCATTCACCCTGAACTGTTTGCACTAAATTTAGAAGGAACCAACACCAGGTATTTACTGAGCATTCATTATAATTTGTTTGTGGGGAAGTTAGATGACATGTCAAATAAGAAGTTGCATCCTACACTGTAGATCCAACGTCCCCGTCCCCCCCAACTCTTTGACACTACAAGTCTGTAAGAAAGCAACTGGATTTGTCGGAAGAGCAGGAAAGCCACTATACCAAATCGTATTGCTAGCTATTGTGGATCTCAAACTGTCTCCATGGCCATCTAAAGTACCTTTCCTGTCAACACTCCAGCAGTTTGATACAGACGAAAAATTAAATCCTTCCCTGTGGTTACTCAGCCCCTGGTTGCAGCAACTACAGTCAAAATAATTGATGCTCTTTTCCACTGTAAAGTGTGAGATGAACAACCCACCGCTATGAACACTTACTATTTCTATGATATGGCAGGCTTTCACAAAACACTGAGCAAGAAACTACAGAGGGAACACTGAGGCGCACAAGCCGTGATAGAAAGGTCAAGTCTCCTAGATTACCATTGCCAGCAGTGGACAGGAAATCCTTTTTCCTCCCTCAAAACATTGAAGTCTGTCATGGGTTTACAATTGTACAGCTGCTACATGGTGAGATTGCACAACTAGACAACAGCAACAAATAATAATAATAATAATAATAATAATAATAATAATAATAATAATAATAATATTTTTATTATTTATATGCCGCCCATCTGACTGTGTTGCCCTAGCCACTCTAGGAAGCAATTATAAAACCACAGTAAAATATCAAACATTAAAAACTTCCCTATACATTCCCAATATGTTCTTTTTAAAAGGGATCAACTGGAAATGCAGAAGGCGTGCCAACGTGCTTTAGACCAGATGTGGCTAACCCTTTTCTGCCCAAGGGCCACACTATCCTCTGAAGATAAAGTGTGTGTGGTGAAAAAGTCACCCCCTCACTTTCTTGTACACACATCCAAACTTATTCCAGAACACATGCATACTAGGGTGGGGATGGGATTTGTACTCATGGCCCACAGAGATCCTGGAACAATCCAACTGCCCTCAACATGGGCAGATCAGCAGACAAAGCCCCTCAGCTCTGCTTCCCTTCAGTACTTTGCCTGCTGACTGCAACATCTGGGCTTGATGAGGCAGGTGACCCTCACCTGTAGCAGGCCTACTCCAGCTGCGGAATCACTTCCCTACTCCCACAGCTAACAAGCCATACCTGGCCAGCCAGGGAGCTGGGCTAGGAGCCCCTGCTTGCCTCAGCCTCCTGAAGCACCCTGCCCACTGCTCGCTACACCTCAGAGCCCATGTTTGCGGGGTCAGGGCCCCTCTAGTTGTGGTGATGGGTCCTGCTGCTCTGGTTCCTGTGCACTGACCTCCATCCCCTTGCCATCCTCCATCGTTCTGTGCTTCCTTCCCCATCCCCTGCTCGCCCTGGTGTGTCCCAGCTACACCTCTCGCCAGAATCCTTCTTTGGAGGTCTTTAAGCAGAGGCTTGACAACCATATGTCAGGAGTGCTCTGATAGTGTTTCCTGCTTGGCAGGGGGTTGGACTGGATGGCCCTTGTGGTCTCTTCCAACTCTATGATTCTATGATTCTATGAATCCTCTTCCTCCTCTCCATTGTTCTGCCAGTTCATGACAACAGTGAGATTAATATATATACCACAATTATCTCTGTGTATGATGAGTCCATAGGTGGATACCGGTGCTCTATTAAGAAGCAAAGCATCCAGTTATGTTTAAGATTCAATAAATATGAAAATGAGTAAATGGTTAGCTCTTTAATAAAGCACAAACAATGGTTTAGATCCCATGAGTGGGCACTCATGGGACACTCCTGCTGGCAGAAGATGGGGGGAGCAGATTTTTAATGACTCTCCCTTCTGTCCTGTGTCCCCTATAGTCAGATGGTCCCCCTGGACTAACATGGTGGGAGGCACTTGGGACTGTAGGGGAAAGGAGGAATCTCTGAAAATGGCCTCCTCTCCTCCCCCCACTGGGAGTATCCACCAGATCAAAGGCCCTTCTGCAAACCAAAGGCACTTTCCCATTTGCAGAAGGGCATCTAAGCCTGCAAAATGCTGCATCTATAAATACCTGCTGTGAATCACTGTGAAGGCAAAAACCCAATACAAAGCTGAAAAATATGATGCTTTGTCAGCACATAAACAGTTTGGGGTTCCCTAACCATCGAGCATCAAGCTATGATGTTATGAGAGCACTGCAGATTTTCAACACTAGTAACTCAGATTCACAGGACCAAGGGTTTTAGGATGACTAAGGCTGGTACCATAGTCAGGCAGATATGGAAATTTTACAACATGCAAAAGTGATCAGGAAGATTTGTAAGGAATAGATTATTTAATCAGACCTCTATGCAGAATACCAACAACACGACTGTGACATTTAACAGCATTAACTTGTTCACATATTTATTATACACGTTCACGTTCCAAATCTCTCTGCCTGATTTACAGAAATGTCTCATTAAATGTGAAACTCCACTTATACTTTAAGCATACTAGAAACAGAATATTAAACAAGGACACTTGAATGGATTTCTCTAACAGGCCTTCCTTTTTTAAACTATCATTAAGGTTAGAGAATATGCTATCAAAGCATATCAAATTGTCTAAGACAACCACTTGCATCTGGCAGTCATAACTGCAGCTAGGTAATTAAGGACACTGAGATTCATATTTACATTTAAAGTTCTGTGGCTGCAATTTCGGTCTGTTAGGATCCCAAGACTATTTGGACACAACACTGTGAAAATGGGTTTTTAGGAGTGTTATTGTAGTAGGGAAAGGACTGCAAGCACACAGGGATTTCACCCACTGAAGTGGGAGGTCATGGAATAACCATGCCCACTTGAGCAAAAGCCTTGCCATCCAAATCAAGGATCTCTCATGCAAGACTCTAAAAAGTATTTGGGCAACTGGTGCAGAAATTACTGCGATACTCAATGGTCCTTAAGCTTAAGCATGTATTTGAGAGCCAGGGTGTGTGTGGAATATTCACTAAACCCAGATTCCAATTGACCCATCATTGTTTTTCAGTTGAACTTATAGCAATTGTGGGCACCCAAAAAGATTAGGCAATCTTGAGATTAAATGTGGAAAAGTAGAAGCAAAAACTGTTTCTGTGCTGCTTTTCTGTGCCTCCATTTGTTTTGTGGATAAAATAGATAAAAACTTAATTAATTCTAAAACAACCAGCAAATTTCACTGTGAGTAGGCCTATCAATGGCTATTTAACCATGACTACTCAACAGAGCATGTTCAGGAATAGTACATTTGTGGATAGCAGATTCTTGGGGACAAAGCTTGTAAAGCCATGCTTTATTTATTTTGAAAAATTAGGCTGTTTTTCCCAATAGATCAAAATGGCTCCCAATTGCTTTCAATTGTTTCATAGCCCAATCCTTTAATGTACTCTGAAGTAAATTCCATTGACTCTTGTTGTCCTTATTCTGAGATAACGGGTTATACTATTACAATGGTGAAAAGTAGTCAATCTACACTTAGCAATTTAATTGATACAGTAGCATTCCAATTCACTTTAAAATACTGATAACTTTTATATTGCTGCTTGTTTAATTGCATTTAATGTTCACGGAATATTGCACTGTAAATCTGCCTTGAGCATACTCTAGGAAAGCAATATCAAAGCATTTTACACAAAAAATGTACCCCAATCCAAATAAGGAGACAGAACTATGAACAAGTTCCACTTGGAATGCACTACTTGATATTCCTTTAAGAATTCTGCAAATGTGTCTCTTCTATTGTTTAAACAAGATCTCATGATCTGGAAATCTTCAACACTGCTGCCCTTATCTTCTTAAAACAGGCGTATCAAAAATGTGTTTGCATCCACACCTAGTTACCGCATACTAATGGATTCTCGATGTGGGTAAACAGGAAAAAATCTGG